GACTAATTCTTAATCATTTATTAATGATAGAGTTAATTTAATTCATTGACATTATACTTTCACTTAAATTTTAATAGAGTCAAAAAAAAATTAATTTGTATTAGTCAGGTTAAGGCAATGTCTGAGCCAAATTATTATAGAACGAAAATGAAAATTATAGGCGTTATTGAAGCTCACACTAGAGATAGAAAATTTGAATTTAAATGTTGATGTGGTGGATAACGGTCATATTTTTTATTTTAATGAGATAATAATGTAGATCAAACGGGGGTTAAGTGTCAAATTTTAAGAAATGTGTAGAAAGGCCTTAGTAGTTAACACAACACAAGCATTTGACTTAAGTCAATGCGATGAAATTTGANTCTTTTTTTTTTTTTTTTTTTGGTAAATTTTTTTTATAATATATTAAAAACTTTATTTTTTATATAAAAATATATTTAATATCTTAAAAATAATTAAAATAATATTAAAAATACGAAACGCATTATGGCACTTATTCTTCGCATTGACACGCCCAAACTTGTGATTCTTAATTCTCGACCTCGACGCATCGCAACGCATTACGCATTTTAGAACACTGACTAGAGGCAAGAAGACATGCTGGAGCCTGGAAGTATGGAAAAAAATACTTTAAAGAACTATTTTGATGGGAAAAAAAGTATTGATTAGTGATTTTTAGGAGAATGTGTAGTTAAAAAGTAGAAAAAAATTTTGGTATACGTGTAAAATATTTTATTGTGTGAATGTGTGGTTGAAAAATTGAAAATAATCATGTGTCAAACCATAAAATAAATTCAAGAGGGTCAAAAATGCTCAAATTATTTTATTATTTTATTTTTTTGAAAGAAAGAATCATATTCAGATTTTGTTATCCATAGAATTTTTCTCTCTTGTCGTATAGAGAAATATTTTAACTGGAGTATTCTCGTTATGATCTTTCGCATTAATATGCAAATTTGGAAGTCGTGCTCATGCAAAAATTATAATGTCAAATGGAATAATCGATAACATTGGTTAGGGCATGTTTGTTTTTTATTCTCAAATTTTACAGTAAATCAATTCTCATTTTCAAACACACATTCTTCAATAAAATAATATTTTCCACCACATCAATAATTTTTTCTTCTTTTTCAACCACACATTTCTCATCATATCACTATTCAAAATCAATTCTTCCCCTAAAAATCCCTCCCAAACAAGGTTTGGCACAACTTGCACGTTATGATGGATAAGATTTCTAATTCTCGTCCAGTGTGTTTTGAGTCGGTTGTTTAAGGGCCTGTTTGTTTTTTATTCTCAAATTCTACAGTAAATCAATTCTCATTTTCAACCACACATTCTTCAATAAAATAATATTTTCCACCACATCAATAATTTTTTCTTCTTTTTCAACCACACATTTCTCATCATATCACTATTCAAAAATCAATTCTTCTCCCAAAAATCCCTACCAAACAAGCACTTAATGTGGATGATTAAAATTGATGTGATATTTATGGATTAATTTTTTTTAAAAAATTAGTAGAGTAATTACTCAAATATCATAAGCAAAAGAGTAATTCTAACGTAGTGTAGTACAAAGAACGGCTTAGATTTGCTTTCGATAGGGAATCGTTGCCCCCATTTATAAGCCTCTCGCACGAGCTTGCATCATTTTGTCAAATCATGCTACAATGTCTAACATTGATGTGTGTGTCATTGCCCTGTTCAAAGAATTTCTATTGGATGTCGTGTTCGACTAATCAAGTCATCATTTCATCTAGATTGTAGCCTGTGGCCTAGGGTCAAGACTACCTTCCGTCTTGACAATCATTACTTTCTTCAAATTGGTGAAAGGTACGATGCTGATGTCAATGCGACACTTAGCTTTTTTGGAGTGATAGTTGAGAGAGACGTTGACAACATAAGGGGACATTCTTTCAGTTTTATATTAATGATTTTTTTTTTTTTAAAGATTACGACCTTGTGAATGATCTGATTGGACGGGCTTACGGGATGACCTTCACCCAATATTTTGGAGATCTCACGTTCAAGTATTTTTCAATCATTTGGAAAGTAGGTCTATAATTGTACTCGTGGTTGGACACCAATAAATATTATATAATAGCATGTTTTTATTTAAATATCTAAACGAGTATTAGAATTGAGTTCTAGACGAAAAATCTAAAAATCGAATTTTCATAATTTAAAAAAAAATATATTAAACAAGCCAAATTATTTTAATTTTTTTCTTGTTTCATTTACCAACTAATTAATTGAGCCCAAAAATATCATTTTTTTCTATTTCATTGCCAATTACTCCCTCTATCCTAATTTAATATGCTAGTTTTGTTTTTTTACACAAATTAAGAAATTTTCTTTAATGTTATTAAAAAAAAAATCAATTTTTGCAAATAATTTCCCTATTTTATCCTTATTTAATTTTCAAGAAAAAGTGGAAAATATTATGAACCACTTAAACTTTCCTACCTTCTAAAATTGTGTGTGTGTATGTATCTGGATAATTCCAATGAGTAGGTAAGTTAAAATCTGTACAATTTCAAGATTAAGTGAGAAAATTTAGTTATAACTGTCAAATTAAATAATGATATATTAGTAAACGAAAAAACAAATGCATTCTCAATAAAGAATTAGAGCTATAATTTGGAGTAAGAAAATAAGGAAATTCAGCATATATGTGTGTGTAATTAATTGAGCCCAAAATATCATTGTTCATGTTTTCAGTTAAAATCCAACTTTGTAACGTAAATTTTAAAGAATCAAAATTTTAAAGAATCAAAAATTGAGTGACCTATGTTTTTCTCAATCATTTTGCTGTTTTTCAAATAATCGAAGTCAAATGGCTGTCTCTCTTCATCTTATCCTTTTTTGCTCTATTTGTTGAATTTCCTCCACTTTGATCAAGATAATTTGTATACATTGATGAATAGATCTTATTACAAAACTTGTTATTTCTATACTTTTAAATTGAATTACGTTATTTTGTAAGTGTTAATATAGTATTATTGTCAGAGTTAAGATTGAACATGTCATTAGTTGAATTAATACAGTATTGTTATAAATATTAAAAAATTTAATTATTGTATGAAATCGTATCGATCCGATCCAATTCGGAACAGTTCCATAATTTAGTGGGTGTTTGGTGGGAATTAAAATTAGATTTTTAGTAGATTGTGATAAAAAATTTTGAAACGTGTGGTTGAAAAGATGTGGGACCCATAAAAGATGTGATTAATATTGATTGTTTGACTTTGACTTAAATTAAATATGATTTTAATCTGAATCAAACAAGACCTTAATTTAGACCTAGAGGTTTCAATTACTAAATACCCAAAAAAATTTGTTCGATTCGATTTTCTTTAAAATCAAATTAAAACGAATCGGATCAGGTCCAATCCAAATTTGGGCACACATCTCAAAAGTTTTAGAATATTTCAATTTATTGCTCTTGACTTTTTGTTCTTCGAATAAACATCTCAAAAATGTTAGAATCTATTCTACTCGTATTGCTTATGGAAAGAAACTCCAGGACTTTTGCAATTTTCTATAGAACTTGTCAATTATATTTTGCAGACCCTTTAAAAAATTTATATTTTGAGTGATTTGATAGGGATTAAAATAAACTTTTCAGTATATTTTAATAAAAGTTGATGAAATTTGTAGATACTATAAAATATGTAATTAAAATTAATTATTCATTTTGATTTAAATTAAAATCTAGATTTTAATCATTTAAATTTAAATCTAGATTTTAATCAATCGCAAATAGGATTAGAGTTCCAAAATTATTTTAAATTTAATTATGTGTTAACTTTGTTTGCCATGGTAAAAGCCATGTTCTAAAATGCGCGCAAATGAGCCGTCTAAACGCGACACTCGGAGAAAACGAGTCAAATTAGGGGTATGCACCAAAAATGCGTTTTTGTTCTAAAATGCGGTGCCTAGACGGCGCATTATGCCGCCTAACTTTTTCTATTTTTTTGGTAAAAAATTTATTTTTTTTATATAAAAGTATATTTAATGCCTTAAAAATATGAAACGTATTATGATCCTTATTTTTCGCATTGACACGCATAAACTTGTGATTCTTGATTTTTAGTCTCGACGCATCGCAACGCATTACGCATTTTAGAATATTGGGTAAAAGTAATTATTTTACTTTAGTATATTTATTTTATCCACAAATTTACGTTGCATTATGGAATTTACTGCCATTATAATTTAGTCCCTATTTGACATTCTTAAAATTTTAAAAATTATTGTTTTGAATAATATTTTTTAGGGAATATGTGGTTAAAAGGTAGAGAAAAATTTTGATTTTTCTTGTAGAATATTTTATTGTTTGATAAGCCATTTATGTCAAAAATACACTTCTTTCATTCTTATTTTCAATTAATAAAATAATATTACACACAAATCTAAAAAAATTTCTTAACCATTGTTTGAACCTTATTATTTAACAAATAATGCATTTTTGAATAGTGATTGATGCAGAATGTGTAGTTAAAAAATAAAAAGAAATTTAAGTTTTGTGTGTAATATTATTTTATTGAAAAATTTGTGGTTGAAAAGAAAAGAGAAAAAAATTTATTAAAAAAAAAATGAGAATCAAACAAGTTTTTATTTTTTAACCATATATTCTTCATTAAATAATTATTTCAAAATGTATTTTTATAAATAAAAAAAAAGGACTCAAAAGGGGATCTCTATAATTTAAAAATGAATACGAAAAATAAATTAAATTAAAGTAAGGGGAGGGGGGGTTGAAAAGGGGCTTAATTATTGCATTTAACCAGCATCTGGAAGTAAAGTGCGAAACCCCTCTCTCTACAGGAGCATATACCTACACAGTAAATACTATCTTTGTACTGCAACGATTAGGGTTTTGTTTTCAGATTTTCTTGGGCAGAAAAGGCAAAGAAAAAACCTTGAAGCTTTAACCCGCCGATTGATTCGACCAACGATAAATCGGCTCTTATTTTCTCTTGATTCTTGAGAAAATGGCAAAGGAAATTAAGGAATTTCAGTTGTATAACAGCATGACGAAACAAAAAGAGGTGTTCAGGCCTATAGTTGAGGGCAAGGTGGGAATGTATGTCTGCGGGGTCACCTCCTACGACCTCAGCCACATCGGTCACGCCCGCGCCTATGTGGCTTTCGACGTACTTTACAGGTATGCGCGCCTGTCTGCACTTAAGTTTATTGGGAATCAAAATTTTGGGTCTGTTTATTTAGAATTCTTATTTTGAAATTCCTTTATTGTTACGTTGCAATTGATATTATTGCTTTTTTTTTTTAAATTGATATTCTTGTCATGTGTGTTGTATTTAAATTCTGTTTAGAAGTTATATATGTTTTATTTGGAATGTGATCAGTGAAAATTTGATCCTTTTTTGCTAAGTCACACGGTTACCATTTTTTTTTTTTTGAGGGTGCTAGAAGATATTATGGTTCTTATGTGCTTGGGGAATCTTCTAGAGACCTATATATATATATATATATATTATGGTTTGCATTTCAGTTTATGTTTCGAGTGACGGTTTTAAGATTGCAGAAAATGCTTAGAAAATTGGAAAACATGTTTGGTTTGGAATTTTTAGAAATCTTATTACCACATTTTATTCAATGTGTTGTTATAGAAGTGTTGCCCCATTTCTTTTTCTTTTCTTCCCATTTTTTCTGATCCCCTGCAATGTAGCAATCTCCGATTCCGCTAGCATTAACCCGCCAAAAGGAATTTCCAACAAGAGACAAAACTAAAGAAAACCCAAAAAATCTAATTTCTGAAAATAATATATTTTCGCAACCATTCAGATAAATAAAATTACAAAAATAAATCAATAAACCAAACTTCGGAACCCCAATTCTTCAGAGAGAAAGAGAAGAAATCATATTTGCATAAACTCATAATTAGTTAATCAATACCAAACTACAAGCAGATAATCATGTCGTAGTACCAAATCTTTGCTATATGATCTCAATATCCCAATCCCATTTTATATTTGTAGTTGTACTAGCTCAATAAGTAGACACGAAGTTAGAAAATGTTTTCTTCGGCTCAAAACTTGTCCTTCGATGAGGATCCAAAAAAAGTTCTCTTTTATGGCAATACAAAATTTTGGGCTTAGTTATCTTCCAACTGAAGGATTGCACAACGCAGTTTGTTTATTTTGGCTAAGTATGCTAGAGCTCACACTGTAGATTTTATCTGCGTGGGAGAGACCACATAGATAAGCACAAATATTGCCACACAAAGTGTGTACATTGAGATATACCATGAAAAACAGAGATGCAAATTTTAGATATAATGTTTATCTTTGATATATGGTCTCAATATACAGGCCCGTTTTAATATCAAAAGTAGCCCCTTTTACGTGTGGAATTGCCAGTGGTTTATTTTTTCTTTAATTTTTGTTTTATTTAGTGTTAACATTGATCATACCATCTAGCAACATAGGCTATCTCCACATCTGTTCTTTATATCTTCTTGGAGAGGTTTCCTGCTATCCTAACTTATCCAACATCTCAAGTCAAATTTATGGCTTTCACAATCTCACAAACTTCTCTAATTCATGGCCGTTGTTACTCTTTTATCAGTTGCATCAGGTCCCCGTCATCAATAGGTTTCTTATGAACTTGATCCCATTCTGCTGCATGTTTTGTCATACCCTATGGCTTGATCAAATTAACAACAAAACATGCTACAAGAAGAACTTTGGAAACTATTCTTGTGTGCTTTATTGGTACATATATTCTTCTAAGCCAATCATGAAGCTTACAGCCTATTAAAATTATTTGTTTGTGGTTTGAAAATCATGTTTTCCGTCTATGATGCTATGCCCCTAGATGCTGTAAGCTGTGCAAATTTCACAAGCTCCAGCTCTAAGTCTCTAACTCAACCAAATAGAGTTAGGTTGTGAGATGTGTCTCTTACAACTTGCATTATCATTTACATTACAACATGCAAATAATTATGATTATCTACACGAATCTCTTCAGAAGCCTACAGTTGACTGAAGTTATATTGCTTCTTTTTCCATTATGTTGAGTAATTTACTACAGTAACCAGTCAGTCACATTAGAATTTTTCCTGCAATGCCTTCATTGGATTGCTTCTTTCTCTATCACGTTGAGTAACAGTCATCTGTGATAAAACTTCTTCCTTTATGCTTCAGTTGATGAATCGACTTTTGATGCAGTTCTGCAATGCTTTGGTGGAGATTATCTGTTTAAATGCACTCCAAGTCTGTTTTATTCTTTGCAAATATTGGTCATGAATTCATCTGTAGTGTTATTTGCTTGATTCCAGTGTTAAACTAACTTTGGTAGGAATCTAGTGTTATCTAGTGATGTATGTTTTTGCCTGATCTATTGCCTATATTCCTTGGTTTTTTTATTATTGCTTCTGGATTTTTTTTTGATGTACAGATATCTAAAATATATTGGCTATGAGGTTGTCTATGTCCGCAATTTCACCGATGTTGATGACAAGGTGAGAAGTCATTGACTAATTCTTATTGTCTATAATAGAAATAACTCCATTAATTAGTTTTATGCAGTACCTATCAAGTGAGATTGTAAACTATCCTGTTCATTTCGCATCTCATTAAAAAAAGTGAAAATGAAAATAAAAATACATATTCCACTTAAAACCTCAAGTTAAAATAAGAAGGAAAACAATGTAAACGACATGACCCTGCCTATGTTTATGCAATAAAAGCAAAGATATTATAAAGAGTTCATAAATTTAATAAAATATAAATATATAAAATCTAGATTAGGTCAAGGGAGCATGCTGGCATGGTGAAGCTTTTGTTGAACATTGTTAAAATTCGATGCCTTTCTTTAGCAAAAATATATCCATAAAAAGTGGACTTTTTTCTTTCCAAGTACACATATACGATCATAAGGCCACTGTATGGAATGGGAGATAGTTTTCTTGAGTTTGGCTACGTGTAAGAAATAGTTATTTTATGTGGGCTTGAGAAGTTGTCAGGTGTAGATGCAATTTATAAATTATGGTTGTTTATCATTAACGATATGCCAGTTGGAAATTCTTTATCAGCCTTTGAAGTTGAACTATTTCATATCTGCACTTCTAATCAGCATCCTATCTTTTCAATTAACCAGATTATCGTTGACTTGATTAGATTGGATGAATTCAAGTGTAAATCATTTTGTTTACTGAGCTATTTCCATTTAGTTCTTCTGTTGCCCATTATTTCTTCTTCTATACTTGCATTTGAATGGAATGTTCAAGCGTGTATATATAAGCCTGTCTTCAGCATGTCTGGCGCTAAATACATGTATAAAGATCATTACTGGGTTTCCATTGGAGGGATACGTCGGCTTACCATATATTGATATCCGTCTCAAATCCACTTAAACACAATACGTACTGAGTTTTTTTAGGAATTGAATTTATTGAATTTTGATGTCCTATTGCAGTAACTTTAGTCAGTTTAGAGTGACCGAAAGCTATTGCAGCTGTCGGGGTTGTGCAAAAGGTCCAAATTGCATGATGATTTTGGGTGTGCTCATAACTTTTGTGCTCTGTGAACAAAGGAAAGGTTGGGTGTTGCTGGGCGTCTCATGCAAACCAAGTTTTAGTAGGTCTTCATTTCATATCCATCACTAACCAATTTACCCGCCAAAAGATTGGGGGAAGCTAGTCACTAGTTAATTCATCTTTATAAGACACTTCTTGCTTAGTGTTCTACCATGACGTGGAATAAGTATAAATACTTACTGTATAAATTGTATTGTGGTTTCTAATCGATGGTTATTCCAGATTATTCGTAGAGCAAATGAGATTGGGGAGGATCCGATAGCTTTGAGTGCTCGGTTTTGCGAAGAATTTCTTGCTGACATGGCTGATATCCAGTGCCTTGTTCCCACCCATCAGCCACGTGTGACTGAACATATGGAGCAAATCAAGGATATGATAACTAAGGTTCTTTGCTTCCCACAGTGCTCCTTTCATTTTTGAAGAACTTCAAGAATCTCCAAATCTTGAATAAGATCATCTATGTTTTCTGTGTATATGTTCACCTGCATGCTCATAAATGTAAAAATCAGGCACCGGCGTTTTTGTTAACTATCATTTTAATTAATTGAATATTTTTATGTATTTACTTAAAGCAGTATACCTTGGTTTCTCACGTAATCCAAAGCACACATGTTTGGCATGGTTCTAATGTTGTATCATGATAAATATCTCCTCTTTCTTTCTTTTTCATCATGATGTTGAGGAGCAGGCAGCAAGGTTTCTGGACCACATTGAGAAATATGAAAGAAGAATATTTTGTGTTAGCTATCCTCTCTTTTTTGTTCGTCATCAATTATTTCTGTAACTTGGTCTGATCTGCAGATTATCAACAATGGTTGTGCTTATCATGTTGAGGGTGATGTTTACTTTGCTGTCGATAAATACCCAAATTATGGCCGTTTATCGGGGAGGAGGCTAGAAGATAATAGAGCTGGGGAACGTGTTGCTGTTGATGAGAGAAAGCAAAATCCTGCTGATTTTGCACTTTGGAAGGTGAAAAGGGCTTGCCAAAATCACTTTCTTAGTTTCTTAGTATTTACTGGATTAACCCATGTAAACCCTTGACTTTTCATTTTCCTTTTAAGGCTGCAAAGCCTGGTGAACCAAAATGGGACAGTCCCTGGGGTTTCGGAAGACCAGGATGGCACATAGAGTGCAGTGCAATGAGTGCTCGTTATTTGACACACTCATTTGATATTCACGGTGGTGGGATGGATTTGATATTTCCCCATCATGAAAATGAGATTGCTCAGAGCTGCGCTGCTTGCCCCGAAAGCAATGTCAGTTACTGGATACATAATGGTTTTGTCACCGCAAATGATGAGAAAATGTCAAAATCACTTGGCAACTTCTTCACCATTCGTGAGGTAAAAGATGCTAATTATAGTAATTTTCTTTTGATATCGCGGACTTAAAATTTATTTTCTGAGGAGCATTGCTGTTAAATACAGTTTTGTTTATAGGTAACGAAGGTGTACCATCCACTCGCATTGAGGCATTTTCTTATGGGAACACACTACAGGTCTCCTGTTAATTACACAATTTCTCAATTAGAAATTGCATCAGAGGCTGTTTTCTACATATATCAGGTGAAAAACCTAAGTGTCTATTGTTAAATGTTGATTGAAGATGCTTGTCTATGCATCGATGGTCAACATTTTGTGTTTGTATTGTCATATTCTGCATCCTTTATTTCACATTTATTAGAAAGGTGACTATCTTGTTGAACTTGGATCAACAGACTATGGTTATTGTGGTATTTTCATGTTTTTAGCTCCTTGTCCTTTGGCCAGGCAGAAACTATATGATATATGTAATGATCGTAGGTCTCAAACATTTGATCTTTTATTTTCTGCTTTTGTTGTTCCCTTACTTGATCAATTAATTTAATTGGAGATGTGCAATATGTTAACCTTATGGATACTCGATGATCATGCTCTGATGAAATGTGCTCCACACTCGGTAATTATAAATCGTTTTGCCTCGCCAAGCATGAATATGCATGAACATACACCGAAGCCAACATTTTCAGATGCTTTTCCTGTCATATTATACACAAAATCGGCAGATTCTTATTTCACATGGAGTTGTGTTGTGTGGTTGTCGCAATTTACAGACCTTACAAGACTGTGAAGATGCTTTGTTGGCTTTGAAAGAAGAGGCTGAGAAAAATGGCAAAATCAGCCCTGCTGCCCAAGAATGCATCGCTAAACTGCATGAAGAGTTTGAGGCAAAATTGTCTGATGATTTGCACACCCCAACCATACTTAATTCTGCTCTTCAAGAATCCCTGAGATTTATGAATAGTTCTTTAAACATGCTCAAGGTGGGTTTTTTTTTGTTTTGTTTTTTTAATAAAGATCATACTTGCCCCAATTTATTTTGTGCAACTTTTTCCTTGTGTACCTCTTTTTAGTTGTCATCTGAAATATTTGCTTCTTTTAATATTTTGCCAGAAGAAACAGCCAAAAAAACAACAACTATCCACAGTAAAGTCTCTTGCTGAACTGGAGAAACAAGTCAAGGAAGTTTTAGATGTTCTAGGACTGCTGTCAAATTCAAGATATACCGAGGTACTTCCAAACCTAATGTCATATTTTTATACATCTCTGACTATTCTGTTCTGATGCTGTAACATATTGGACGTTTCATCGTACAGGTTTTGCAGCAACTAAAAGATAAAGCTTTGAAAAGGGCGGGGTTGACTGAAGACGATGTTTTGCATTTAATTGAGGAGAGGATGCTAGCCAGGAAAAACAGAGAGTTCTCTAGAAGTGATCAGATTAGGAGTGACTTGGGTGCTAAGGGAATTGCATTAATGGATGTAGGAAAGGAAACAGTTTGGAGGCCTTGTGTGCCGGTCCAACAAGAAAAGCCTGACGTTCCAGTTCAACAGGAAAAGCCAGTAGAGGCGGTTAAACTAGAAATACCAGTCATTCCAGCAGAAAAAGGTCAGCCAGCTGTGCCAGCCGGTGAGGAGCAGTAAACGGCTGTTGCTAAATGGCAAGTTCTATTCTTAATTATAGATCATGCATGTACTTTTTGTAACATTTGAGATTTCTTGACATGCTGCTTCACAAAAAATGTTCCATAATTGGTGTTTACGGCCCTATACATGTTTGGGTGCCCATAGATTTACACAGTGGTCTGGTAATTGATTATGCTACTACAACTGGACCTTTAAAACATTCTATATATACGCTTCTTTCTTGGGAAATTTATGTTTAGTGTTATTCTCTGTTCTTAGATATGAACATATGAATCCCAACAACTTATCCATTATATCAACTTCTTATACAAGGAAATGAAGCCTGCCATTTTGTATAGCATGTCGATGAAGATAACCATTTTTATGTGAACTGTGAAAGTAATTTGGATTTTATCTTCTTTCACCTCTAAAATTAAGTGATCGAGCAGTTTTTGGCATGTTGGATTTGCATAGATTAAGGCTGTGAATAAGCCTATGTTTGGCCAATGTTTATAATTTGTTTATAAAAACTAGACTCTCGAGCCACTTTTTATCACTATTCGAGGATCTACAAGTACTAATAATTTGTTCTTCGCTAATTCTATTTATTTATATTTTAAAATGTTCATATTTCATAAACACGTCTAAACATGATTTAAAATGGTTTAATTGAAGTTGTCTTCTGCTCTCATTATCGATATCATAAAAATGAAAATCAAAATTTGTAGAAACATAAATGAAATTACAATGAATGAAAGTTATTTTAGTAATTTTAATTTATATTTGTACTTGGCGATGAATGCCAAACTTTTTTGACATTAATTGCCTAACATTAACAATTTTTTTATCAGACATTGCTTTAATTTAACTATTTAAAGATAACGCCGAGCTTATTGCTCTCATGGCACAAATTTTTACTATGGTACTAGTACGTATTCGCAGCAAATGCCTTCCCCCCACCCCACTGCTTTAGCCATAATGAGCATCAGAGGATAAATGCTATCTTGTAACAGGCCAGGGTTAGGGTGGATGGGATTTGCGCTCTTCGTTGAGTCTAGGTTCGTAGCGCACCTAACCTTCGGGGGCATGTCCCTTTGAGTCCCTGGTGGTGTGAAACTGCCTTCATGACTATGCTTCACTCTATGCCAGGATACCACATGATTTGCCATACTTGACATCTTTTATTTGAAGTGACACTCGTCTTGTGGTGAAGTCCACATTGGTTGGATGTATAGCATGTTTTGCACGTCTTCTTAATCTACAGTGCTTATAGAATTAATATGTTAAAGTGGGTTGAAACCATATTACTTATCACCAATGTATAACTTCAGAAAATCATTAGTAAAAAAATTTTGTACGATCTTCTAATACTTCACTATAGTACAATTATATGGTGGACATGAGATATTTTGCCCAACAATCTAATCGAATTTTTCTAATTCAAAAAGGTGTACCCAAACGTGTCCGAACGGTTTATAGAAGTCAAGTTCTTTCACAACACTAATTTTCAAAATAAAATCTTCCTTTTTTCTTTTATAATAAAAGAACTGACTTTACCACTCAAATAAAAACAAAACAAGACGTAATGGGGCGGCTAAGAAAGTATAATTATATAGCCATCGATTTGATCTACACACTGGAAAAAAGAGCATGATCATTATGAAAGTTGCCCAATTAGCACCACGAAGTTGTAGGAATCTGACCCCATCATTAATGCCTAAATTTATTCACAAGAACCGTGATACAGTGTTAGATGTCTTAACATAATATCATGTGACATTTCATCATTGAAATATTTTACAATCAACTTTTCCATCAAATCGTTTGTTGTCACCTAGAATTATGTTGTTGCATCTGTTAAATTTCTTCTAGCAAAGTGACAAAATCATTCATTCACACATTTTTTCTTTGGTCTCTCATAGTGCCATCTTCATTAGGGAACACTGTAGAAGTGGAACACACCATGTGACTGGCTTGTGTTGGGAAATTATTTAAAGTGATCTAATAAAGAATTAATTAATTATTTTGAGCATCTCAATAAAGTGTGTGCCGAATTTTATGTGTAGAGACTAAATCCATTAGAGTTTGTATTTGACGATAGATCGAATACATATTGAAACTATATATAAGGTTATGATCCCCAATTCAAATGCGATTTTCATTCTTTGTGTCATCCAATCAACACAAGAATTAATAGAGAAAACATATTGAAGAAAAAGATTCAAAATCCACAATCAAGAATCGAGAAAAAGAATTGAAACTATTAAATTGAATTACAAGAAATCAATATTTAAAGATCAAAATTTATTATTCAAGATACAAATCAATGGATCAATATATGTTCCGCGTTAATTAATTTTCTTGATGATTTGATATGTAGATCTTGACAATTCATAATATTTTATAAAGTTTAAGTTTCATGAAAAATTCAACAGCTTCATCTAATTTCTTTTTCCAATTTTCACTCATTAAAGAAATATTCATTTACTATGGGTTTTACCATCACGAAGCACCAACAATGATGAATTATTAGTAACATGAACTTTTTCACAAATCTTCATCAAGAACAATGCCAATGGTAACAAAAGATTGGAAAATGTGGAATTTTGTAACTTCCATTCTTGAAAGGACTTGACATGATTACTTTTATCATCCGACTTGAGCAAAATTCAAAAGTTTATTAATGAGGAAAAAAAAAAATCTATGATGATGCTTACAAATTCCTCTTTCATTTCATTAATTGACATATGTGTACCAATTGTCATCAAAGCTTCAAAAGACAGTAAAAGCACCAAATCCAAACTACTTTATTCTCTAGTGTGTTTCTTGATAATTTAACCTACTTTGAATCCCCACATTCGTTATTACTAATTTGTCGTGATTATTAGTAATAATTGATGACCAGGCAATATAAAACTACAAATTAAGAGTGGCACTCAAATTTTGATAGACCTTTTTAAGCAGTGGCGGATCCAGAAAAAAATTTAGCACGGGCTAATACGCAAAGAAAAAAAATTCACACATAAATTTTTTTTTTTTACTTAAATTTTTTTTCTTCAGCATTTGGGCTAGAAGGGACAAGCTGTAGCACTGGCCAGCTCTTCCCTAGATCCGCCCCTGTTTTTAGGGTTGAAATGAAAAAGGTTTAGGTTCTATTTGATTATGTTAAAAGTTTCACGGAAAATGAAAAAGAAATTCTATCTTCTAATTTAGGCATATTTAATATACTAAATTTTCTTGGCAATTCATTTTTTTGGTTTTGGCTCACACGGTTCCAATTCTTTATTTTTGATGAAAATCAATTCCCACCAATTTGATGGAATTTGGTTTTCCAGTTTACTTTTTTTTAAAAAAATTTTTTTTGGGCAATGAAAACAAATTTTATTCCTTTAATGGACAATTTTCATATAAAACAATTAGTGTTTGTCTAGAGAAAATTATAAGCCAAATTCCACCAGTAATTTTCCTGTACGTGGGCCCTACTTGTGAGATTAATGGTCCAAAATTGCGGCTCAACGGTCAATTTATAAATTAAAATTCAGCTTTAAAGCTAGGGCAGCCGGGCTCTTAATTGACAATTCCATGAAAACAATTTTAGGCATTTCAATTCTCTAGAATTCATTTTCTTTCCACCTAAATTTCAATCTTGCAATTAAACGGACCCATCTTTTCAGTCAAGATACCTCCTTTTTAACTTAATAATTTTTTTTTAATAAAATCACATAATTCAGTTGGTTCTCTACTTATTTTGTGTTTCTCTTCTTATTTGTATAAACATTCACACAAATCATAAAACATACTTTAGAAATTCATTTCTTACTTTTATTTAAGTTGTCCCACAAGGAACAAATTCAGAACGAAGAATTTATATCAATGTTGACTAATAAAGAAAATGTTTCTTTTCCAATGGATTTTTTTTTAATTTTTTGTATGTAGCACTTACTCACCTAGAACTAGGTAAAGTCTAAAGCAAACCATGCAAAGTGGCAACATTTTAGACCAAAAGAAAGTGCCATTTTTTAGGGATGCAATCGTATCTTGTGCTTTTGGCCATGCAGTTTTGGATGTTCAAATGCCATTTATTTGTGGGCAGCTTTAGGTTTAGGATATGAATATTTTTTTGGTGCTTATCGACTTGGGATTATCTTGTTTTCGTGCTTACACGTAAGTTTCCTACAACACACAATCCATTAATAATTTTGGTTGCTGACTGCTGCAACAACCCTACAATTCACTAACTTATTTCACTTTTTTTCCAACAAATTAGTTCCAATAATATATATATATGCTTTTAGTCAAAGCGTTTCTATTCAAGTAATTTTCTTCGTTTTGGATTATCTTTTACTCTTATGCTTTTAGTCAATAGCACATTACATTACATGTGGAAGACAATAAATGAAAACGAAGTTTGACTAAAAACATAAATTACCTATATATTCAATGAAGTTGTAAATCCTAAACCTAGGATAGCTGGTCTGAAAGTGAATGTGATCCCACAGTACATGTAAATTTATTTGAGATTACGTAACTAAGCTAATAAGAATGAGACTTGAGAAGAAAGGAGAGATTCGATGAAACTAGACGGGAAAATATGAATTTATTCGATAGTCAAGTCGTCTTATTGCTATGAATATACCCTCCTTATTATATAGAGTTTATCCAAACTTGATTTAAGAAAGAAACAAAGGAAATAAGTCTCGTTTAAGTCAAACTAGAAAATCTATAAAAATAAAAATTCTAAATTAAACTATTTTTGTTCCTAATTAATTAAAAATTTTATTATTATCTTAATTTCCCGTGTTATAAGACAACCTAAAAATGGGGTTACCATATTTCAATTCTTGTTTCAGTTTTCTAACCTAAAGACCTAAGTAAGAGCATGTTTGGCTGATCATAAAAAAGTATAATTTACTCCAAGTAAATAATTATGTTAATAGAAATGCATAATTTTTTTATTGGTGAAATTGGAAATAAATAATTTTTGGCCATAAATTTAAAGTTTCTTTAAAATAAGTAAT